CATTCTGAGTCTGTCTAACTTACTGTGTCTATTTAAGCATCAGAGATTATTTCCAACAGTGTGGGGAATCATCTGGAATGACCTCATCAGATTGAGGATCAAGACCACCCCTGGGGAACAAAATGGCGCCCCACTGAATTTTGTGGCTTAGTTACCTGAGCAGTGGCCTTTCCTCTCCAACTGCCAAGGACCAAGAGTTTGACATGTCCAAAGGCTGAATGAACCAGTGATTAAAAAAAAATAAAAGGAAGTAAATTGGCCAGCCACTATTTAAGTCTGTGTGCAGGGCAAGGTGAGGAAAATGGGGATGTGAGTACTACTTGTTAGTGACCCTGGATAAGGCTAAAAGGCATTAGAGTCTCCAGGACCAATAGACCATCAGGGATGCGGTTTGAGTCCCCCGAATGGGAAGTAAAGAAAGTAAAGAAAAAGGTATCTGAGAAAGGAGGTTCAAGTCCTCCAGAGATTATAACCCATCATGTATGATGATAAAATATTGGGAATTGGGAAAACAAGGAGTCTTCCCGGGGTTAAAAGAAGAAGAAATAAAAGAGCGGAGGAGTCTTCTGAGAACACTTCTCCAGATAGTCCCTAAGGAGGATGTGAAACATAAAGAAAAAGGTTCAGTGCTGGTGTCTTTAAAATTAAAATTTTGTGTACTTTTGTCTTGTCAAAGCTTTCTGTCTGTGTGTGATTGTAAATGTTTCATGTAACAGAAAAACTTCTAGGGTCTGTAATTAGAGAAAGAACATTGGAGAAAAAAATGAAAAAAAAATTCCCACCTTAGGCTTTCAGTGGGAGATACAGATCAGAAGCTAGTAGAAGGTGAAATCAGAGGAGCAACCTGCCTCTGCTGATAAGGATCTAGAGCATACTGCCCAAGATAGCAAGGACTGAGAGAAGAAAAATAAAGCTAAGGATTTGAATTCAGGTTTGAGATCCCCAAGCAGAGAGTTTAAATTACTGTCTTGGTACCCCTCTGGCCAATATATCTGATATCAAGGCAATGTGTTTAAAACTGCAAAAATAAAGGTTTTTCTGTCTTTTAATGTGATCACTTCAGGATTTCAGTGATTTGTTTAAAATGCATAGTAACATTATAAAAGTTGTTTGTGAAGAGAATGAGAGAAACTCAGTTCTTAACTCCCTTCAGATTTCAACAGGATGCAGAGAAGCAACCTGGAAACAAGGTGAGTATAATACATACATACATATACATGCATACATACATATACATACATACATGTATGTACATACATATACATACACACATATAAATTTGGAATGTAAAGAAAATTGGAGGTAGTCAGCATAACATGTTTGAAAGAGTAGGAAAGAGGAGTCAAAGTCTTGAGAAAAAATATGACAGCAAGGGAGAAAGAAAAAGAAAAATTATATATGTAGTTTGAGAGTGTGTTGGGGTGGGGTGTTCTAAGGCAAGCCCATGTGCTCCAAATTCCCCATCCTGGGATGTTTATTCTTAATGACTTTGCCAGCTTCAAGGGGTTTTAAAAATGTGAGGAAGTTTAATTCTGTTTGGGGTAGAAAAATTGAAAATGAAAATTTTGTAGCTTGATTTGAAAATCACCAAAGTTATAAAGGGCCATCCACCTCTCAGGATAAATTTGCAGGAAGGCTTTATTAAATCTGGCCTTCCTTAAATTTTGGCTATAGTAAAGATATTAGTTATTGTGATTGGAGTTTGTTACAAAAAAAAAATCTTAAAATATTTTCAAGGGCTGTTCAATTAATTGTTTGAACTCTAGAGGCTTTCTGCCTGGGGTGGGGGTGGGGAGTTATTCAAAGCAGGAATTATCACTACATTTGTTTTTTAGGGAATATATGAACTTATAGAGAATATTTCCTGTTAAAGGGCCAAGAACATTGTATTTAAAGCAAAAATGTTTTTAAATGTTTATGATTAGCAATTATAAATTCAGATCTGATTTAAGTTTACTGTCTGTAAAAAAAAATAATAATGGTTGTCGTGGGATAAAAATGATACTAGTGTAAAGTGCTTAATACAATGCCATATGTTAGACATGGCATTGTTATTATTTCCTCTAATTTAATGTAATTGTTAAAAATACCAAGAGTAATAAGATCAATAATTTCTACATGTGATAATCTGGAAATGCAATTAATGTTATCTGAAGTTTATTGTTTGTGTTTTTTAAAATTATATTTTATTTTTAAAACTCTTAGATTGTGAAATTTCAGGGACCATTGTGAAGTAAAAATGATGTTAAAGCAATTCTTATTCTGACGTAGGTCTTTTAAAAGGCTGTGATAAAAATGAGATAATTTGGAAACTGTTAAATATCTAGGGAGGTATATTTGGTTATAAGCAGGTAATAATAATATTGATATTTACTATGATAGCAGATTTTAATTTGAAATCTTGACCATTATAAAAATATATGGGGGTTTAAAGTTATAATTTCAACACATTAATCAGGAGATGAATGATTTTCCGTGCAAAATAATTTGGAAGTGAATTCATGTAAATTGATAATGGATTCTGTCAAAGTTTATTACTATCATGGAAATGATTTTATAATATGTGCCCTGTGGTACAAACATATTATATTGTGAACAACTTGTTGATATGAGCTGTTTTGAAATTAATTAGGTATTCTCCCATATATCAAGGCCTCAATTAGAAAAAAAAATGTGTGAGAATTTATGGATAATAATCTTTTCCTTTAAAGTACTAAGAGTATTGGGCCTTAGAGATTAAAATGTACTTTTGAGGTTTGGAGTACTGGACCCAAAATCCCAACACATGGGTCCTGCATGATGAAGTTCAACCTGGTCCTTCTTTCAGCCAAAGAGAGGGTTTGTTCCATGTGGGCCAGACTATTGAGGAGTGACGCTAACATGTTTGTGATGCTCATAAAGATGAGCAGCCGTGGGTTAAGTTTTGGCTATGGGGATTGGCAGGGAGGAGTCTAAGAATGGCCAGATGTCTTGATGGAAGTAGCCAGAATTATGAATCCAGATTGTATTTACGCAATACAACTAAATTAAGGTCACCTGATGGTAATTAATTGGTTCTGTTTCAACTTTTTAATATATTATAATTGCTTATGGTATGGCTACATTTCTGAATTTTCTTACATGGCGTAATCTAGTAAACAAGTTGTATTAGCTATGTTATTAGAAAGGCAATTTCTTACAATCTATAATGTTGATTGAATTGAGAATTGTGCTGTCAGAGAAAGAAAAAAGAATGAGTTGGGAAGCTGTTTGGTGATTCTATCTGACCTTGTGTTGTAACATTTTTTTGAAGTAGTGTAATTTGGGAAACATGAACTTCCAAGTTTTGTCTATAAGAGAAAGTTTCAGCTAAAATATTTGATTCTCACTTATGAAATTTAAGATTGTTAACTAAGCTATTTAGAGTTATTGTTTAAATCAAGTACTTGTAAAAGTATTTTTGTGAAAGGAAACTTGATAATTATGCAAAAAAGAGACTTTGTAAAATCTCGTATTTCTTATCAACCCTGTGCAGGAGTTTTGTGTTGTGGAATTCATACTGAGTAAATGTCTCACTACAAACAATTTAGGTGGCTAGGAATTTTATGGCAATTAGGAAATTATAAGCTGCTCTTAAGAAAAGGAAATACTTTTATGAACAAATGTTTTGGTGAAGTCTTTGGTGTGATTTTTTAGAAGGCCTACTAAATTTCCATTTGCAAGCTAATTTGTTGCAGTAATAATTTGTTATCGACGTCAGTTATATCCAAACCTACTGTGAATTTAGAGTTTCATTCTTAGATTTGTTGTGTCCTTGGACTGGACTTAAATGGATGCTTTCAGAGAAACAGAGTCTCAATGGAAGCACCATCAGAGACCTAAGTCTAGTGATTAACACTAAAGCATCTAAATTTCTGTAATAAGCTGTAAGTAGGAATGATCTTACTGTTTTGATCTGAATTCATTGCATGGCCTAGCAAGAGTTAAAATTATTGTTTGAATTTATCGTTTGTATAAGATTCAATTCCTGAAATGTCTCATTCTTTCAGATTAACATTAGAGAGTGATAAAATAAGCTTGAGAAACAGAGATGCAGATCTATTAGAGTAGTAATTTGTGAAATTTGATTTTACTCATCATGTTATTTAATGAGGAACTAGAACAAATGTAGGAAGGCTTGTAAACTACTTGAGATTCACTTTAGAAATGTTCCCTAACTAATGTGAGATTATACTCACACCTGAAACCCTGATGATGGGAATTTGCTATCTAAGATCTTAGGGGCTGTTAATGAACCCCTGGGCAACTTTAAGCCTGGCTCTATGCAGTTGGCAATTTCCTAAATTCTGCCTGGAATTGACATGAAACTAGGGAAGCATTGTTCCCTTACTTTAGTTATACCCTATTCTTTCATGGTAAATTTCCATAATCATAAGTTTTGTAAGTATAGTATCAAATGTATTAAATGACAGATTGATGCAGGAACACCTGAGTTTATTATGGTAAGATGCAAATATAAGATTGACTTATTTGGCCTAGAGTTTCAGGATTAAGTATTTAGTCTTGACATTAGTATGTTCCTGTATATTAATGTATTGCTGTATAAGTCAGGGTCCGTTAATTTCTCATAATGGCATGGGGATAATTAGGCCAGGAGCTTGTGGAACTAGAATATTATTCTGTTAGTTAATATTAAAGTTGTCTCAGTTTGTTACAATTAATTAATGTTAAAAGAAGGATGGCTTGTGGCCTATCTTGTAAATCCTGTAAAAGATGCATTCCTTTTAATTAAGGATGATTTATTTTGCACATGACCAGAAGTTGGAATTTTTTTATTATTTGATATATACTGTTTTTAAATTGATTACTATGTAGTGGAAACTTCTAAGTGGCTACTCAGTTGGAATGGTGGGAAGCCTGGAAGGCAGTGTTAAAAGACCTGCAGTAATGACCTCAGAAACAAGGCCCCCTCCAAGCTCCTTGGCCCCAAATGCCACCCCTAGGACATCCACCAAAAATGCATGGAGAAGGAACTGTTGGAGCTGCAGACACTCATGGACATGCACTTTGAGCAGAGGAAGAAGGAGGAGGAGCAGCTCATGGGTTTGAAGGATCAGTAATGAATTAATGTAAAATACAAAAAATATAAAAAAATGCAAATTAATGCAAGGTATAAAGCTAGAAGTAATGCAGAGTATAAGGCTAGGTTCTCATTTTTTTGTTACTTTTCTAATTTGATTTTCTTTAACATGACAATTGGCCAAGGTTCCAATTTTTGTCTTATGATAATGGAGACATAAGGGTTAACTTTCACTTTTTTGCCATGCTTATTGGCAAGATATTTTAAAAATTGTGTTAAGATCAATCTTGTAGGAGAGAGGACCCAAGAAAGAGGATCTCTACAAGAAGAAAGTCTGCTGGACACTCCTTGAATGGCACTTAGAATGGAAAACTTCACTGGATGGTGTCTAGAGCACCAGACAGCTGTATGAGAAGAGACTTCTGAAGCCTTAAATTTGTCATTACTTTTGCATCTCTGTATTTGCCCCCTTTTGACTTGTTAATGCATCAGTCAATTTCTCCCTTCCTTCTTCTACATTGTTATAAGTTCCCAAAAATCCCTTGATGAAATGTTGCCCTACAAAATAGCCCGAGATGGAGCCATTGTTAGGGCATTGCAGGGTCTAACCACTTTGCCTGGAGAGTTGGTGGAGAGCTCTGTGATAGACAATTAATTAAAGGGATGGTTAGAATTATGATTTGGCAAATGGAAGGGAATGGTGGTCTCTATCATAACCTCCCTAATTGTGGTAGGACAAGTTTTAATGGCAGTAGGATGTTGCATAAACCCTTGTGTAAGGTGCCTGGTGCAAAGACTTATTGAGAGCACCCTTACCAAACAGATGCCAGTTCTTACAAGCAGAATAATCTATTCCTAATGAAGGAACACGACCAATTGCAGGAGGCTTGTGCCCTCACCCTAGAGAAGTTTGAAGATATGGAAACACAAAGACTGAAAAAAAGAAGGGGGGATTGTGAGAAGTAAGAAATTATTAAATCTCCATATAAGGAAATTGAGAGAAAAGTAGCTCTGGGTCAGGAGCTTCAAGAACCAGCTAACATTTGGTGAAACTGGTTGTTTGATTAAAGAGGCTGGACATGGGACAAAGGTTAACCTTTACTTAGAAAGTAAATGCTTAATAGCCTCATGAATATTAGCTTCTCCACCTGGGGAGGTGGGTTAAGACACCATTTTGTGTATGAAGAAGGAGGGGGAAACATACCAAGGAGAACATGTGGTGGGCATTTCAGGAAGTCTGCAACCTGTGCTGACTTCTACCAATAAAAGTCAGCTAGGAGGGACCTGTGGCCATGAATAGGGATATAAAGACTTCTCTTATTTCTGTAGAGGAGGTATGTGCTCTTCTCAAGTTCCACACTGGCTTCCCGCAAAAAAGCGTATTAATAATTCCACTGCCTCACTCATCCTTAGTCTGTCTAACTTACTGTGTCTGTTTGGGCATCAGAGGTTATTTCCAACAAGAGAACTGAGTCTAAATCAGATCAAGGGTGGGAAGTAACCAGAGGTGATCCAGAGGTAATAGACAATGAAGAGCTGTGCTAGGTTAAGGGTAACAGAGAATTGGACATAGGAGATAGTGAAAGGCCAGTTGATAGGCTTTTAGTCTCAGGTTATTGCCAGAGAAATGATAAAGAAGGAAAATTCAAGGACAGTTCAAAGGGGTTGGGGGGTTACAGAGCCTGTAGACAAATAGAACCTAAATTCTTTTCTCATAGGGGGCAAAGGTCTCAGCATGGATCCATACCCCATCAACAATGAGTAATCAAAGGAAGAAAAAACCTGACCATAGATAGTTACAATGTAGAAAGAGGGAGTTCATATTCAGAAAAAGTTAGTAAAATTTAAAAAGCCTCTCCTACTTCAAAGAAAAAAATAGCAAATGATCACAAGTCCAAAAAGATATTTTGGAAGAGCTGAAAAAGGACTTTCAAAATGAAATAAGAGAGATTGAGGGAAAATGAGGGGGGAAAAAAGAGCAATCCAAGAAAATCGAGATAATTATGAAAAGAAAATCAATCAACTGGAAAAAGAGATCCAAATTTTTTAAGGAAGAAAATAACTTCTTAAAAACTAGAGTTGGGAAAGGGGAAGGTAATGATATTATAAGACCCCACAAATTAATAAAACAATCAAAGAATGAAAAAAATAGAGGAGAATGTGAAACATTGAGTTAGAAAAAAACAAGTCATCTGAAAAACAGTGAGGAGAGACAACATAAGAATTCTTGCACTACCTCAAAGTAATGTTAAAAACTATCTAGATAGTATAATACAAGAAATTATTGTTGAGCATTGCCCTCATGTTCTGGAAAGAAAGGGTAAAATAAACATAGAAAAAATCCAGCAATCAACAACTGAAATAGATCCTAATTTGAAACTTCACAGAGACATCATTGCCAAATTACAAAGCCCCCAGGTCCAAGAGAAAATACTTCAAGCAACAATAAAAAACAATAGTAATTGCACTAAAAACTGAGGGACTTAAAACATATTTGAGACAGCAAAGGAAATGGTAAAGAGCAGATATTTAATGAATTGAAAGACTTTCAGGTATTTGTGACAAAAAGACCAGAACTTTGACATATAAATTTGACATAAACCTAAGAGAAATGTAAGATGAAACATTGAAGACCAATTACGATGGACTCAGTAAGGTCAAACTGTTTATTTCTTATGTGGAAAAATGTTGTGTGTACTATTAAGAGTGGTATCATTGTTTAGGTAATTTGAAAGAGCATACATAGTTAGAAGGTTTAGAGTTGAGTCAATTGTAATAAGGATGATTCTAAAAATTAAACCTAGGTTGGGAGAGATAAAGTGGGACAATTATCTCATACAAACAAGGTATGAATGGAAAAAGTGTTGCAGTGGATGTAGGTAAAAGGGGAGGGATGGTAGTGCTGGAACATCATTCTCATCAGAATTGGGTTAAAGAGGAAATAACATATGAATAGATGGGTATAAAGAATTAGGAGGGTGGAGGGAGATGACAAGGGAGGGAATCTGAATCTTAGAAGGGTGGTAGATTAAGGAATTGGAGGGTAAGGGGAGACAAGGAGGTAAGGATTCTTTAAAAGGATGGGGATTAGGTTAGTTGCAGTTAGAGGTGAATTAGACTTCTATTATAATTAGAGAGATAGGGTAAAAAGACAGAGTGAGAAGATTATAGTGAGGCAAACTAGGATGAAGTGAAATACATAACTAGTAATTATAATTTTGAATGTCAGTGGAATGAATTTGCCCACAAAACAGAAATGGATAGGAGAATGGATTAGAAATTAGAATCGGACAATATATTGTTTGTTAGAAACTCATTTAAAAACGACAGATACACACAGTTAAAATAAAGGACTGGAATAGAATGTATTATGCTCCAGCAGAAGTAAAAAAAAAAAAGGCAGGTGTATCAATCATGATCTCAGAAAATGTTAAAGTTAAAATATATTTAATTAGAATAGATAACACAGGAAACTACATTATGATAAAAAGTTACCCTAGACAATGAAGCAATATCAATACTAAACCCATAAGCACAAAATGCTATAGCATTTAATCTTTAAAGGAAAAGTTAAAGAACTATAGATGGAAACACATAATACTACAACACTGGAAGACTTTAAACTTTCCCTCTCCTACTTAGATAAATCTAACCAAAAATAAGTAAGAAAGAATTCAGGGAGTTGAATGGAATCTCAGATAAGCTAGATATGATAGGTATGTGGAGAGAATTGAATATGAACAGAAAGGAATACAACTTTTTCTCAGTGGTATATGGTACCATTGCAAAAACTGACCATATATAAGGACATAAAAATTTTATAGATAATGCAGAAAACCAGAAATACTAAATGTATCCTTTTTAGGTCACAATGCAATAAAAATTATATTCAGTAAAGGATCACAGAAACAGATTAAAAATTAATTGGGAACTAAACAATAATCGTAAGGAAAGAGTGAGTGAAAGAACAAATAAAAACATTCAAGACTTTCATTAAAGAGAATGACAATAATGTGACTGTTGCTCTGTCATGATTTGTTGTAGCAGAACCATCTCACAGAATTCAGAGTCAGACCACCTCTAATCAAAGTATAGGTATTTGTTGAGATTGATGCATCCCGCGATACCATGATCCTCTAATACCTAATCTCTTATCAAACCTCTCCTGCCTTTTTAATATTCATCATTTCTGTTATGTAATTGCATTTTACCCTATAAAATGCTTTCACTAAAGTTGCTGGTTCCTCTTGGAACTTAACCTGTTTCATGGGAAGTGTCAATCTCAATAAATGCCTATACTTGGATTACAAGCAGTCTGACCGAATTCTTTGAGATGGTTCCATCAACCACAAAAGAAGGAAATGGCAAACTGATACAGTGATGGACCTGGACCCCTAAAGGAAAGGACCATGTCTCTGAAAGCAATCTAATCACATACTGGCCTGACCCTGTTATTCCTCTGATAAAAGCTATCAGTACAGGCACAGGGTGCCTTCCCAAAGGCATATACTGATCACTTTTTAATTCCACCCAGGTCACCTAATTCACTATTTGACATCCTTTCCACTCTCTCACCTGACCCGCTCCAGACTATTTATCACTCCTTAATCCCAGCCAGATCCTTTTACTGTCCCTTTTGCTACATCAACCTCATTATTTTTCAGGTTCCCTAAGCACCTTGTCTGCCTTCTTGGCATTACAATAAACTTTGCAACTTAACTGGAGGAAGATTTGAGTCTCTGAATTCATTGCAGGCCACTATGCCTTTTACCCTAATATTTTGGAGTTCCTAGCACCCATAAACTACTTCAAAACAACTCCAGTCTCTTTGCCAAGAAAGCCCTAAATGGTATCACGAAAAGTTGGACATGACTGAAATGAATGAAACAACTGAAACATTATAGAGGGCAACCTCAATTTTTTCTGTGTTGCAGAGCCCTGAGTAAAATTGGTAAAGGCTGTGGACCCATTGTTAGAAAAATACTTTTAAATTTGTAAAATAAAATACATAGAGTTTCAAAAGAAATTGATTATAT